TGGACTGAGTTCAAAGGCCATAGCTGTAGGGTGAATAGGAGGTTGGGGATGTATGGGGGTGGGAGGTAATATGCATGTATAGAAGAGTACATAACACACACACACACACACACACACGGACACAAACACACACCTCTGGGACAGTCATTAGTGAATTGGTGAGTGCTAGACCTGTTATAGATCAGGGAATAGCAGGTGATAGACTGGACGTCAAAGTGCCCCCCCCCCCCCACCCACACACACACACACACACACACACACACGCACACACACACGCACACACAGTCCTTATTGTCCCACGAGGCTGTTGAAAGCAGCTCAGAGAAAGCTGCACTAGGGTGTGTTTGATTGAGGGCATCAACAACATCAGTCCTTTCTTTATTCACCTCACACACTGAGTGCAGTCTTTACTATTTACAGTCTCTGTGTGAAGACACACCCAGTTTACTGCTGGACACAGAGCTGGCTTGCTGGCTTCTTCTGTTGTTTATACTTTTTAAAGAGATACTTCAACACATTTTATTCATATATATAGAAATATTTACACTGTTGGAGACAAACAGTTAACAAAATTGATGGTGATTAAGCAAATCATTGCAGTTTACAGCAGCTTTTTAGACATGAAAACTGTTTTTCACTGAGACATCATTGCTTTTCCTGCAGGCATTTTGACCCTCAAACCAGGTATTTCAAGCCAAAACAGAATCTTTATCTAAGTATAACCAAGTGGTATTTGTGCCTAAATCTAACTATGCATAAATCAGTGTGTTGTTGAAACTTAAATTTTCAATGTACCGCTACGTAATATCATGCAAATGTATATGTGGCGTGCAGAAATGTACAATGCTGACATTTTGTCTGGCAATTGGGTTGAAAGTTTGGAGAGGCATTACAAGAATGTTAATGGTGGTGCATACAAACTGCATACAGAAAATTCTTTAAAATGAAATAAAATAAAATACCATAAAGCTGAAAATATCCTAAAAAGCTACATTGGAAAACCTTTGGAAATGTGAACAATTGATCATTTCATGTCGGCAGCATTTCTGATTTTGGAACAAAGGTCTTGAGAAGGCTACAATCTGAATCCTTATAGAATTTTGGCTTCATGCCTGCAAATCATTTTTTTTTTGGTGATGAGAGTAGAATGACAATCCAGGTTGTCAATATTTCACTTGCAGAGAATGTATACAGTAATATTGTCGTAAGGCAATCTGTACTTCAGCAGGATAATTTGACAGAAGTCCCATCTATTGGGATCTGAGGATAGATTTAGAGCATGACTAATGGACTGTAATCACATTACGACCAAATGTAGCTCCTTGCTTTTAGCTTCTGTACACCAGACTCACTATAAGTTACTGAGGGTGATTATTTACAATCAAAGGTCCGTCTACTCCGTGTTCATCTTCCAATTCAGACTTTATTATTTGATCTTAAATTAGTGTTAACAGAGTAAGCTTATAGAGGATGCAGTGAATTAACCAGCTGTCTGATTGCGGAAGTTGTTTTTTTTTGTTGTTTTTTGTTTTAGGACAAACTGCATTTAATTGACAACCCTTGCTTCATGCGAGCATTGTAGCATTGTTGAGTGACAACAAAACAGTCCTTTATTAAATATAAGTAGAAAACAGAGCAGCTGTGCATCTGGTCTCTGATGATCAGGCAGAATGTATGTGTTCTGCTGATCAAACTGATAAGAGTGGTAGATGGATAAACCATCAAGATCCATCATAGATAACATGATAAGCAGGTCAAGTGATCGCCAACTGTATAGTTGTATAACATAATACAAAATGGAAACACTCAACTAAAACTCAAGTCAAAGGGACAGTTCAACCTCAAATCAAAAACACATATTTTTCTTCTTGCCTGTAGAGCTGTTTATTAGTCTAGATTGTTTTGGTATGAATGTCCAAACGTTGGAGATATCAGCCATCGAGATGTCTGCCTTCTCCCCAATATAATGGGAATAGATAGCACTCAGCTTGTGGTGCTCAAAGCTCCAAAAAGAAAATATATTTGAAAAATTCAACATCAATGTCTCTTTCAAGAAATCATGACCCGGCTGCTCAAAATAATCCACTGACCTTGCTGCGAGCAGTTTCATGTAGGAACTATTTTCTTTCTACAGAACTACACCCACCAACAGTACCACTGTGCAGAAGTAAGCGTGCAATTACTAATTGCTCACCTAGCACCACTGAGCCAGCTAACGTTACAGATCAGCTGAGGAAGACACCATTGCTGTTTACGTCTCGCTCTGTCACAAGCCTCTCGGCCATGCATGAGATGCATGCTTCCTTCTGTGTGATGATGCGGTTGTTGGGTGTGGTTGGCCAGTAGATCAGTTTAGGGTTTACAGAAAATGTTATTAGGATGAAGATGGGTCTGGTTTGGGACTTCAGGTGTGGTTCACGGCCAGCTAAGACAGTGGTGCTGCAAAACCAGATGATACAGAGAGTTTCAGTGTGTGTCAGTAGTAATACACAGCGCTGCAGCCTTACTCACATACACAGTCTCCTCAAGTAGGGCATACTACTACTGTGCCCTTTGGCAATGCACTTAACCCAGTTAAACATTTCTCCCCCAGATGTTCAATATGTGCTATAGTGTAGTCGGGGGGGTTTAACTGCTTAAACATGTATCTGATGAACTCTTTAGTCATCAGAGAGAGTTAAGGATGATGTAACAGTTTATGAATACTGATCATTTGAAAGTGTAACCACTCTGAATATACTTTTCAGAATGCAGCTGAGTACATTTAAAGATGCTTTTACATTCATATGGTGTAAATAATTTAATAGCAAAAATAAGTAATTTTCAATCATATCCTTGTCAAAGCAAAGGCATATTTGTAAAGTGTTTATTATATTAGGTTATTGAGATAGACCTAAAAATGCCCTCTGTAGATACATGCAGAGAATGTTATGTTTTTTTGTGTGTGTTCAGTACATCTTGTCTTGTCTGTTGCCACTCTTCCCCTGTGTCTGGCATTTGGCACTGCGGCTTAAGGAGCTAAGCTGTCCTTCCTCTCTGTCTCCACACTTTCGCTCTCTCTCTCTCTCTGTCTGTGTGCGATCCACATCCTCCTCCCCGTCATCATTATCCACTTGAATATTACTATCTGACCTGTTGAAAGTCTGCTATCTGACTTCTAAAAAGGATGTTGATCGACTCGTTTCCCTGTCTTGTCATGAATGTGTCCTGCCGTCACATTTACTACAATCAGACTTTCTGTACTGATTCTTGGTCAAACAAGTCTCTTGGTCTCTAAAGGCTTTTGACGAATGTGAAAAATGCAGAAATATTTTATGATGGATGAAAGTTTTGGACTCAGTGTGCAAATGTAACATAGCACAATTTGAGGTTGACTTTGGACAAAAAAGATGGACTCTGTGGAGTCCAGCAAGACCTAGCCCCATCCCATCCATTTGTCACATCAGTTGGTAGTCATGTGAATCAACCACAATCTTTCCCTAATCCTAACTAAGTGGTTTTGTCATCTAAATGCCCAGACACACCAAATTGACTTCAGGGAACTAGAATGAAAGCAGACTGTTGTTATGCTTCACGTCACCTGTGTTTCAGCCAAAAAGTTGCACATGAACACACCACCAGCACGTATGTTCTAAGCCTGCGTGAGAGGAAATAACTCTCCACACCAGCAGATGGCAGTAGACTGTATTTGTCATTTAGAGAAGGAAACCGGAAGACCGTCATGACGCTAGTTAGCCAGTTGGCACACTAACAACACAATCCAATGTTGAAAGAACAGAGCATATATACCATACCAGTCAACAATACCACAAACCATCACAAAATGTTTCTGTTAAAGAGCTCAATGACTAAAGAAAAAAATCTCACCTTATGTACAAGTTTGTTTTGATCTCACTTCCTCTTGACTTTTGCTTTTTGTTTACTTTCCTCAATTCTGTTTCTCTTCTTGTGCGCTGAGCTGAACTGCTCCACTGTTGCCAACGCTGATTCAACATTCCAAATCAGCCATCAAAATGTTGACAAAGGCCGATGAGAGGCAACGCAGTGTGTGTCAGGGCCTTAAACCTTACTACCGACCCCTCCTTAATCACAAGTCGTCATGTGACTTAATCGCTGACCCCTTCTGTGTCAAGGTAAGGATGCCCTCGGTGTCATTATAGGGGCAGCCTTTTACACTGTGTTGCGTTGGGCCTCTGCTCATCTCAGCTTGATTCTCAAAGCTACATTAGCCGCTAAAGTAGAGTTTGGTTTTGTTGTGTTGACGGAAACATTGTTCTTATTGTAGCGCAAACTGTTTATACATACAGTGATGTATGTTTAAAGATAGTGTTTTATATTTTTTTAAATGCTTTTCCACAGACCTCCAGGCAGACTGTGTGTCAGTGTTGGTTTGTGTATGTGCAGCAGCAGCAACACAGACAAGAAGGATACAAAGGAAGAGGGAAAGAGCATCCTGTGATCCTGAGGGCAGCGGCTGGCGTACAGACGAGCTCTTTGAAAGCACAAACACATAGTTGAAGAAATAACACTGCTGCAGACAGTCCTAAGGCGTGTGTGTGTGTGTGTGTGTGTGTGTGTGTGTGTGTGTGTGTGTGTGTGTGTGTGTGTGCTGCCACTGTCTGCTCTGCCGTATTTACTGCTTCTTCCTGCACTCAGACTTACACCCACTAATGAGCAGTCAGCACATCTTTCTGGCGTCTTCTCTTTAGACTTACTTTATTGCAAACTGTCTTTCTTTGCACACAAAACTTGAGCTGGTTTAGCTGTAAACATATTCAGTATTACTGTACACCATAGCCTGTCAGTGGGTCCAGTCAGAGTGACCTCAGATATTGCTTGTTTGGAATAATTTATTAGCATACATGGCTTCCATATCTGTTTAACTCTGGTGTGATGCTTCCTGTTTAAACTGATAAAGAAACTGTGTGTGGTCATTTGTTTGTTGAAGAGGACTCAAGAGGTTATTGTATTGTTTATTTGTTGTCTTTGTGTCTCATCAGGTCTTTTGAGTGGTCACAACAGAGTGGGTGGACAGACGGAAGCTAATTGTCCACATCAGTGAACGTAAGTCAGTGTTTCTGTTCAATCAGTGCTGCACATTAGACATGAGTATTCACAAGAATGGACTGTACAGAGTTCACTAGCTGCCTAATCGTCAGGTAAATAGCCTAATTTCTCATTTAGGACAGGGTTTTGTGTGTGTGTGTGTGTGTGTGTGTGTGTATTTATATGTATATGTACAGTTATGTAGACATACATGCATATAGAAGTTGGTCTTAATCAGTTTAATTAGGGCAAACTAATTGTACTGAAAAATATTGGGAATAAAAGTCTCTTAAATAATGTTAAATTACATGCCAAAGGTTTTTTAGTCATAGGAGCAGATTTATAACAGTTTTTCCTCATACAGCGGTTCATATCATATCCTATGGAAATGCCCACACACAACAGTTTGTATGATATCCTACGGAATAGTGCCCCATGAAATGACGTTAGGTCCTTAACGTAATCTTACATAATGAACATAAAGTTACGGAGTTTAGGTTTATAAAAGTAAGGTCTCCAAGGGCCAGCTCGGGACTGCCTCTCTCTTTATCTTCTTTACACAATAGCCATGTGATTGCAGCTTTCCAAAATACATGGGTTATGCACAAATTGGCCCATCATTACATGGGATATGTATGAATTTTGGTGCATACAGCTGTGACAGAATAATAATTGGAATAGGAAAAAAGAGTTTTTACTTAGTTGTGATAAACTGAAATGACATTTGGTTTTGTTGGTCATCAGTTATCAGTCATTATTGGAGGAGGCAGGTTGTCCTCTAACTGGAAGATTACCGGTTCTATCCCCGACTCCTCCAGTCAAGATATCAAACTCCAAAGGGCTCACGTGAATGTTTAACTGACTAGAAAGTATCATCTTGTATGGTAGTCTCAGCCACCAGCAGCATATGAATGTGTTTGAGAATGGGTACTGTAAATGTGACATGTAGTGTAAAAGCTCTTTGTGTTTACAGAAAACTAGAAAGGTGTTATACAAGTGCAGGTCCATTCACCATTTATAAGTCATCAGTCATTGCGTGTCGCTACTCAAGTGAGAGGAGCTGCAGATTTATGGGAATTTATCCTAATGTCTTATTGATAGAAACTGCCCAAATGGTACAAAAAGTAGCCTACATAATTGTGACCTGCACAAGTAAATAATTTGTGCTCCTCCTTACCTCTGACTTATCAGAAAAGAGCCTTTACAAAACCACATCATCTGAAAATCACAGCTTAATGTCTAATCACCCAGCTCCTATAAATATTCAGCTGGTGAATATTAAACTTAACCTCATTTTAAGTTGTTGACATGGCTTGCTGATGGCTGATTCTTCTTTTGCCTTTAACATTTCCTGCCTGCAGAAAGGTGTGCTGTTAAATGTCTATCCATGATTTTTGTGTAAGTGGATGTGATTTCAGTGGGGAAGGGACACCAGCTAACAGGAAGAGAATGAAACACTGGTGTCTTGGTATAGCTCTATTCACATGGTACTAGTATTACCAGAGGACCTAATGTGATTTAGAAATGACCTCCCCCATAAAAAAAAAAACTACACAGCACCACTAGTGTAGATGTACAGTGTTAACCTCCTTTTCTTTTCTTTTTTTAATGTGAGTTACACAAACATGTTTTCACCTTATCCGTCTCATCATCCCATCATCTTTGGAAATTTCACTCTTTAGATGGATTCAAGCTTGCTTTTTCTGTGAATGGGTCTCTATGTTGTGTACTGAGATAAGCCTCCTGCACCCAAAATGCTGTCAAACTTTCATTCATAACTGCTTACACAGTCCCCAAAATTCTCGACCGGGAAAGAGGCAGAACAGGGGAACAGATAAAACAAAAAACCTGCATATGACCCCAAATCACCATAATGCTGATTTGTATAGGACTAATATTATCACATGACCTGTGTGTATGGCAAAATATGGTAGGTCATTTGCCGTGGAGGTTTTATGGTGGATTTGCTCAAGATTAAGATCACAGACGACCTCCACAATTACAACTAGAGGTCCACAGGTAATACTACTCCTGTGTGAATAGGCCTTATGTGTGTATTACCTTTGTGCAGTTGCTTACTAGTTTGTGATTTCCTTTGACTACTGGCTTGCTTGTACATACAGTATTTATTTATGTGTGAGCAGGGCTCCCAGCAGCTATGAGAGTACTGTGGTGCTGAGGGTAATTGTGTGTGATGGATGTAGGGCTATTTTTGGGGTGTTTGTACAACAGAACTGGTGATGCCGTGGTGGTGGTGGTGGTATATATGGAGGTCAGCGAAATGGCTGGGGGGACAGATAATGTGTGTTTTGCCTCCAGCTTTGCCACTGTCTCAGAGCAATAAAAAACAGGGGAGAAATGTTCAGGATTTGTATTTAGAACAAGCTTTTTCAGCAAGAGGGAAAGAGGGTTTACATGAAAAAAATCCACCCAGACTTACATCTTAACTGCCTACCTTTTCATCATGCTAACTTCTAGTAGCATAGATCTGTATGACCTACATTCACTTTATATACTACATGCAGTGAATTTATAATGTATAAGAAGTGGGATTAAATGTACTGTATGTCACATTAAGAAGTGGGGAACAGTATCGATTAACTGTTAATTATGTGGCCCTCCACCAACAATTAAAGGGATAGCCCCGATTTTTTGATGGTGATGTCACACCCCCAGGCAGGCAGGAGAACTACCACAGAAGCAGAGCAATGTACTGCTGTGGATGAGGGCAGCAGCAAAACGTATTTTAGCCACCTGAAGAATAAATGCAATAATCATTGTGAGTTAAAGTGTACGCTATATTTAGAATATTTTCACAGATTTACTTTGCCATCAGACAGTGATTACCATCATATCAGTCTATGCTCTCTTAAAAGCCACCAGACACCTTTGCCAAATATAGTATCGAACCAGCAACTCCCCTTGTACTACAAGATAGTTGCTGGTTTTATCTGTTAGTTAGTTTGTATTATTGTGTGACTTTGGTGATTCCAACTTAATCCTTTAAAACACCAATAAAAGTCACACAATAACACTAAGGGCCAGTCCCAATATGTTGGCTGGTTAGCTAGCTATCTAGCTAGCAGAAGTCCCCTGTTGTCTGTCGTTCATCAAACGAAGCATGATGCATAATGCAAACGCGATCGGTACAATGAACTCAACTGGAGACTCCATTGTAGATGCCGGTTGGAAATGTAGATGGCTCACAGCTTCCTGTTTAAAATAGTTACGTATTTCAGTATTCACTTTGCACTAAATATGTTCACTTTAATCCATTGCTCACTTTTTATCCACTGCTCATTATTATTATTATTATTATTTATTGTTGTTTCTTGTATTTTTTGTACTTTTTTCTGCATGCCTAGTTTTTTAAGTTTTTAAATATTGAAATCTTTAATTTGACTCTTTACCCTTGACTGCTGTAACACTAGAATTTCTCAATTGTGGGATCAATAAAGGTGTATCTTATCTTATCTTATATTATCTTATCTTATCTTATGCCTGAACGTAAGCGACGCGGTGACATAGTGAGTGGTGTCCCAATTCCTAGGGAAAGATTTCAACCCCTACCCCTTGTTGCTTCATTTCGAGGGCCAAGGGTTAGTGGGCAGGGGCTTGGGGTAGGGCCAAGGGCTAAGGGGTAGTGATCAAGGGGGGTATTGGGATTGGGCCTAAGTAACTCACCCATGGAAGAAGCAGTAGACCAGAAACTCCTGTTTTCTGCAAGGTAGAATTACTGTATTTATCAAAGGAGTCTGGTGGCTTTAAAGAGAGAAAAGATAATGGCTTCAGTTCCCCATTGGAAGGGCTCTCTAAGGTAGAGGTAAACATTCTAAATATAGCTTAAACTGATATTGACATTTTTTCGGTGTCTAAAATATGATTTGATGCTGCCCCCGTCCACAGCAGTACATTGCACAGCTTCTGTGGTGGTACTATGTGCTGCTCCAATGGGGGTGTGCCGACCACCATTTACTATAGGTAATACACTGACTATGGATAAGTATCTCATACAACCCACTTCAAAAAATCCATACTATTATTGAAACTTTTGTACAAAGTTGACAAATAGTTTGTGCTGTTCATGGTTTATCCTGTAGGAATGATTTCCCCTTGAAAATAATGAAAATTGACATAAATGCCTCATAACTGTCTCAGATCTGAATCACTACAAATGAACTGATCCTTGTGCCAAATAGTTTGCTCTGACAGAGTATGTTACAACAGCAAAGCATTCTTGTAGTGATAAGTAAAGGACCTGAAATGAAGGAATAATTACATCATCAGTGTAAAGACTAAATTTTTGGATGCCTGTAAACCCATGATTTTTGCAGTTTGCCCATTGGCAATAATGGTGGACATACACGATAAGTGCAGTGCTCTTGTCCAATAGATAAATTATTTGCAAAAAACACATTTTTGATGGTCAAGTTACAAATATGAACTTCCAATTGCAAGCTTTTTATGGACTTTTTTTTATGTTTATGTTTTCCTAAAAAAGTACTGGACCAAAATTTATGCATATCCCATGTAATCATGAGTCATGTGTCATGTGTCAGTTCAGAGGAGGACCCAAATGCAAACCAACAGACAGTCTGAGTTTCTAAAAAAAGGAGTGAGCTTTAATGTAGCCGATGGAAAACATTCAGTATAGGCATGCAACTCAAAGTCCAAATGAAAACAGAATAAAAACCAATCGGGAAAAACATGATGAACAGGGATGAGCACAGGAATAACGCAGAGATGAATACAGGAATGTCAGAAGAATGCACCCAGGAGGAACACAGGATCAACACAGACGAACTGACAAAGAACAGGGAAACACACAGGTATATATACAGACTATTATAAAACTATTCACAAGGACAAGATACAGCTGGAATAGGAAGACATGGGCAAACGGAGGGAAATGGAGATTAGCTAACAACAAGGGTGGAGCAAACAAGACCAATACAGAACAGGTGTGAAAAGGAGGACTCTGGGAACAGGGAGGGACCAACAAGACAGGTGTGACAGAA